GGGGGGGCGGAAGCAACGAGTGAGGAAGAGAAATGGTGCAGTCTCCAATTTCCATGGCAACGTCCTTTTCACCAGAGGATGAGAAAAAGCAGGCTCTTGTTGCTGCTGGTGGTGTAACACGAGGCATTAATCAATCTGCTGGGGCTGGATACCCAAAAGAAAGTGCAAGGGAGGAGAGGCAGGAGCCAGAGGGGGACTGGGGGAGCCCTGGTGGGACGTGGCTGCTCCCACCCCACAGCGCCAGCGTGTGGGGCTTTGAGCATGGCCTCTCCTGCTGCGCGGTGAAGGAAGGCTGTGATCCTCCTATGCCAGTGCTGGACTCCTATGGGCAGGTGCTGAAGCAGGAAAGAGCCCGAGGGGAGAAGCCGTTTCCCCCACATCGTGCCCAGCAGAATGTTTGGGCAAGGCTCTGCCCTGCTCCCTGGGCTGGTGCAGGCTGTGCCGGCCATGGCACCCATCTCCTGTGCTGGGCCTGTTGAGGTCTGGGGGGCTGGGAGGGTCCTGGTCCCGCTTTCCAGGACCATTTTGGACTGAACTCCATCACTCTTCTCTCATGAGTGCGATGTGGGTGGCAGGGGTACTGCAGTTGGGCAGGTGGCCTCATGTTCCCGTCTGTTTGCCCCTAGCTATCCTGAACCCGAAGCAACCCAAAGAGACACCAAAAAGCTTCAGCTTTGACTATTCCTACTGGTCCCACACCACGGTAAGTGTGTGAGGTCTGAGCCCTCTTGGAGCGGTGGGCTGGGGAGAGGCAGGAGGACCTCCTTGCCAAATTTGTTCTTGTTGCCATCCTCTCTGCAGCCCGCAGACATCAACTATGCATCTCAGAAGCAAGTGTACCAGGACATTGGGGAGGAGATGTTGCAACATGCCTTTGAAGGCTATAATGTCTGCATCTTTGCTTACGGGCAGACAGGTGCTGGAAAATCCTACACCATGATGGGGAAGCAGGAGAAGGACCAGCAAGGCATCATCCCGCAGGTACTACCTGGTGAAAGGCTGTCTGTTCCCCTGGTCCCAGTGGGATGCCCAAAGGCAAAGCAGAGTCAGGAGGGAAGAGTGGGTGGGAGTGGGGCCAGGCTTTGCCAAAGTCTACTCCAGCCCTGCCATGGCAGCGAGCTGACTCGGCTCTCCTGGAGGGTGGGGAGACAAGGAGAGTCATGCTGGACTCCTCCAAGACCAGATGAATTACAGTCTGGCCACGAGGCCTGTGTTTGTGAGCAGCAGTAGTCCAAGCGCCAAGCAGGCTGTGCTTGCTTGAGAGCTGCTACGTACTGTCCCAGCAGTGTGCTGGGGACGGGCTCTGGTGTTGCTGAGCACCCCCCATATCAGCTCCCCAGGAGCCATCCCAGCACTCGAGGGCTCTGGTTTTTGGGGTGAAGAAGTAGAAATCCCTGTGGCCTGGGCACCCTGGGCAGGAGCATCCTTCTGGTGGGGGGCTGAGCAGCCTGGCTCTTCTCTCTACAGCTATGTGAGGACCTCTTCTCGCGCATCAACGACACGACAAATGACAACATGTCCTACTCTGTGGAGGTAGGCACCCTGTTACCCCCCTAGTCCGCCTCCAGCCTCCCACCCAGATGGTCTGCAAGCCATGCCAGTGTGCAGACCCCTCTTTGAGGAGTCCTATCCCTGGGGGTGGGGTGGGCAGGCAGGGCCTGATTCTGCCTATGGGCTGAGCATCTGCATCCTGCCAGCTGCTAGCCCTGGCTGTGCCTTCTGCTGTAGGTGAGCTACATGGAAATATACTGTGAGCGTGTGAGGGACCTCCTGAACCCCAAGAACAAGGGGAACCTGCGGGTGAGGGAGCATCCCCTTATGGGCCCGTACGTTGAGGACCTTTCCAAGCTGGCCGTGACCTCCTACAATGACATCCAGGACCTCATGGACTCTGGGAACAAGGCCCGGTGAGTTGGGGGAGCAGGAGATGGCCAGAATTTGGAGGGCTTGGAGACATCTCCAGAAGGTCCTGCTTAAATTCCTTGCTTTGCCAGTCTGGCTGCTTTGGAGGTGGCAGTCTCCTTCTGTCTGAGCATTGGGTACTCCCCACTTATTACCCCCCTGCCTGCTCTCAAACACCCTGGAGCCGGCAGGAGAAATCCTGGACTTTTGCATGTCTCCTCCCAGAGTCCTCTTCTGTCCTCTAGACTTGCCTTTCCATCATGTACTCTGTCCTGAAATGAGCACTGGCCCAATTGCCACCTGCTCCATTGTCCCCTGCAGAGTGTCATACCTCCCTGTCTTCCTCTCCCTGCAGCACGGTGGCTGCCACCAACATGAACGAGACCAGCAGCCGCTCCCATGCAGTGTTCAATATCATCTTCACACAGAAGCGGCATGACGCTGAGACAGACGTCACCACTGAGAAGGTGAGAGCAGAGCCTGAGGGACTCGGGGGAGCCCTCATGGACCCGGGAAGGGCTTCACATGCTATTGACAGCACTTGGGACGAGGTGGTGTGGCCTGATGGAGGGTTGAAACAGGATGGAGATAAGTCACAGGCATGCTCTGGGCTCATGGGACTGGCCCCTGGACAGGGTATTTGTCAGCTGGTGCCCTCCAGCCCTGCCTGCAACGATGTTAGCCCTGCTCCTGGCCAAATCCCAGCAACGAAGACCTCACAGACCCACCTCTGCCTTCAGAGCAGCGTCACATTGCAAGAGATCTTTGCTCCCTCCTCAACTCCGTGCTGGGGCCTGGTTTACTGTGCGTGCTGGGGCTGACAGCTTCGTCTCTGCCTGCAGGTCAGCAAAATAAGCTTGGTGGACCTGGCAGGAAGCGAGCGAGCCGACTCCACTGGTGCGAAGGGCACAAGACTAAAGGTGAGAGCTGGTGTGAGCTCCCCTTCTGCTGTCGGGGATGCTGTGTCCTGCCCCCTCGTCCTGAGCTGTGACATCTCTCTTCCTTGCCTGGTTCCTTGCCCACTATGCTGCCAAAATCCTTGACAGGGTTTTGTTTGAAAGCTGCCCAGTGTCAGTTCTGCTGGGTCCGTGAGTCCCAGCTGGGAGCTGCTGGTTACCCAGTAGGACCAGCTGCTCTTTGCCTATCCTGTGGTGGGACTTCCCCATCCTCCTGATGCTCTGGGCTTTAGCGATGCTCTAAAATGGGGCCTGAGCATCTGGGCTTTTCCTCTCTCCATCAGGAAGGAGCGAACATCAACAAGTCCTTGACCACACTCGGGAAAGTCATCTCTGCCCTGGCTGAAATGGTAGGTAGCTGGAGTGCAGATTAGCAGCAGCACCGTGGGGGAATGGGCTCACCTCTGAGTGATGGAGCATCCCAGCACCAAGGTATTCTGGCAATTGCGCAAGCCAGCTACCATAAAGGGTTTGACTTGAGGTTTACGCTGAATCACTGCACCAACAGGAGATTCTTCTACAAAGTCCTTTTTATTAATAGTGCTGCAGCTCGAGCTGGGTGCCTCCAAAGAGGAACCTCGAACAAAGAAATCCCTGGGCAATTACCCTTAAAATCTAAATTCCCCACCCCTTGTATGACAGTTCAGACCAGTAGTAATATTAGGGTCTGGGGTCTTCCTGTTCTTCATAATTTAGCCCCCAATGGCTGAACAGTGTTTCCTGTCAGTCTTTTGAGGTGCCTGGGTGTAGATGGGAAACCAACGATTGAACAGAGTTAACGTTTGTTATCACTTTGCCTATGTTGTTGACATAGAAACAGCAAGATTGATTAATAGCTGCACAAACATCCCCTTGACTGGCTAACAATAAATCTAAAGCCATTCAGGTTTGAAACACCATTTTGACTGGTCTGTTACTGTCTGGATGGAGGCAGTAGCCAGACTGGAGTTGGCTGCTGTACTATTAATAAAAAGTGTTAAACAGTGGAAGAAGGCCAGGGAGTATATGGTTCCTGGGGTTGGTCTCTTAGGGTCGCCACCCATTCTGGGTATATAAAGTATTACTAAAATGGATCCAAGGAGTATCAAGAATGTCAACATCACAAGTCCCCACATATAGTCAGTATAAAGGCTATACGATTAGAGGTAAACAGGCTGAGCACTGTGGATGTGTGTGGTTCACCTGGATGTTATTCCCAAATTATCAGTACCCTGTATTGTTGCAAAGCTCTCCTGACTTTTGTGGTCTGCATGCACAGCACCCGTTTATGTGTCAAAAGGCAACTTCACTAGTTGTACTACCCTGGCTTCAGCCCTGTCAACAATATTCCTAATGACCTTTAAAAGAAGTGTTAGTGCATCTTCTAGGATGACATGGATCACAATGGTTACGGAATGACCAAAGCCAACTTTGCTGCAGGATTGGTGGGGTTCTGTGTGGGTGGCAGTTATTAGTTTAACTGATATTCCTTAGAAATAGATTTAACATGTGAGTGATGAATCAAATTCTCTTTCCCTGTG